CTCACGGGCCCGGCCGCTCCGCGGCGGCATGTGGGATCTTCCCGGACCGGGGCGCGAACCCGTGTCCCCTGCATCGGCAGGCGGACTCTCAACCACTGCGCCACCAGGGAAGCCTCCTGGAAGTGTTTATATAGCTCCACCTCCATCCTTCCTGCTTCAGCAGCAGTAGGTTTCTACTCCAGTTGCGCTTTGGGGAGATGCATGCGGCTAGACCCCTCTCCTCCATCTCTACTTTTTCTTGCCTGACCCAGCTGTCAACCTCTGTCCTTTTGTCCACAAGCTCTCCTTTCTCTGCCTCCTAGAGAGGAAGGGGCCTCTGTCTCATTTGCTTAAAAATCCTTCTGCACAGTCTCAGAATGTTGTCCCCACTGCCACCCGAGCCATCCTTCCCCTCTCTCCCCCTGCACCTCTGCCCACTTCCCCTCTCCTATCCAGTTCTGCTTGAGGACCAGCTTGACACAACCTGAGAGGGTGGGAACCTGCGTGACCCTCTGCTCCCTCAGGATGTGACCCCTCTTCATCTCCAGATACAACCAAGCACAGAGTTTCCCTGTTGCTGCTCATGAGTGGGGATGGGTGGGGGCCAGACCCACAGAGAGCCAAGGGGCAGGCTGGGGTGTCCTCAGAGCCTCCAGTGCATGTGTGAAGAGGGGTTCGGAGCTCCTGTCTCCCTGCCTCTCTGGGTCTCCTCTCCCACGCCCCCTTCCTCTGCCTGTTTCTCCCTCCTCACTACCTCCCCAGCATCCCCATCCTTTCCTGTCCTCCCTCTGCCTGACATCTGGCAATGTCCCTGGTGCTTGAGAGCTGCAGCCACTGGGGGCGGGGAGAGACACAGGAGGGAATGTCTTGTGCCCCTCCTTCTTTGTCCTAGGATTTCAGTTGACATCTTTATCCTGGGAGTGCCTCCCTCTGCCCACTCCCACCCTGACCGGCAGCCCCATCTCTCCTCTCTTCCCTCTGTGTTGGAAGGGAAGATGGGAAGAGGAGCTCCTGGCCTGATCAGTCCAAGACGCCAAACTCTTCAGATGTCCTGCCTTCCCAGGGACCAGATGAGGAAGCTGGGCTGGAGTATCTACTCAGCCAGCTACCACCTTGGGCAGGGGGCTACCTCTCCTGGCTTTGGAGAAGGACAAGTGCCCCTGAGTTTGGGTAACCCAGATATTCGGGCCCAGGGGGCACTCCACCCCTCACCACGCCCACCCTGAATGCCCGCCCCATGGCCCTTAGGCCTCCTTTCCACAGCGAGGACATCAAAACTCTTAGCTGTGTGGCCCCTTTGAGACCCTTCCTTCAGCCAGGCATCAGGGGTACCTGAGCACTTGATCTCAAGCTCCTGATCACGTGCCCAGGGGCTCACCAAATGCCCTCCCTTCTGGCTCCATCCCAACCCCACCAGCCTGGATTCCTGAGTTGGCGCATTCAGCGGCACTTCCCTCACTCTCTCCAGGGACAGATAGTGTCACCCTAGTGTCCACTCACTAGTCGTGCCTTCAGATGAGTGACCCAGAGGGGCTCCTGTTCATGGAAGGCAGCCAGAAGAAGCCCCAGGTGTTCAGGCCCTCTGACTCCTGGGCAAAGGTCAGGAGTGGGTAGGAGGTGCCAGCACACTGCCCATCGGCCTCCCAGGGATGAGAGGACCCCAAAACTCTCCTTTGTGCCCCTGGGGGCGGGCACTGGTGGCCTGAGGAGTTGGGCATTGAAGCCTCTTGCTGGAAGGAGGAAGACCCTTGCTGTGGCGTAATGGCTGTGACTAACGTCTCCCTTGTCCTTCACCTCAGCTAAGGTTGGAGAAGACAAACAACTCCTGGACCAGGGGAGGGGCTTCCACAGCGTTGTTGACACTAGGCCAAGGGGAAGGTCCAAGTTTCTACTCCAGGTTTTCCCCCCGTCTGGGCATCTAAGACCTGGTGCCCTGCCATCCAAGCTCCCTGGGACTCGGAGGGAGTATGAGGCTGTGGGGCTGACCCAGGAGCAGCACGCTGATCTCTCCTGTCTTCGTACCTGGCTCTTCCTCCTACGTGATGATAGCCAGGAACCACCCTGGCTGCAGCCTTCTGTTCTGTACCCAGAGCCTAGAGGAAGAGGAACTGTGAACACCCCTATTTGTCCTGCCTCAACCAAGGCCTGGTCCAGTGGCACAGCTCACCTGACCCCGGACCACTTGACCTCAAACCCTCCTGCCCCAGGCCTTTGGGCCTCTCACTATGGAGGACTCCAATCTCTTCCCCACAAAGATGCATCAGTTGCTCCTGAGCTGGGAGGGGGTGGGACATGAGACCTAGAGCCTCCAGCATCCCTTTGCCCAGGTGGGGGACTTGACGAGAGGGCACAAGAACAGTTCCAAGCGGGTAGATGGTAAACACGTAATTCTTTTATGCTAATCTGTCTCCACACCATTTCCTACCTTCCTAGCCAGCTGCAGGTTATTTTTTTCTGGACTTCTGTCTGAACTGGGGTGGTGGCGGTGGCGGGGAGGAAATCAAGAAAGTTGTTTCTGGACTCTCTATTTTAGTCACTGCCCTCATCCTTCTGCCTCTGTGGTAGGTGTCCATCACTCTTTTTTCCCCGGGCCAACCTATTGTCTGTATTTAGCTGTCTCTGAGAGAGGACACTTCTTCCCTTCACAAAGCTTCCCTGTATAGTTGGGAAGTCCCTTCTGAAGTCTAACCACCATCTTTCTTGCTACCTTATTACATCTACTTTTTTTTTCTTTAATTTTATTGGAGTATAGTTGATTTACAATGTACATCCACTTCTTTTGTAGGACATCGATGGCAGTAGAGTTTGTCTTCCAGCATCCCTACATCTTTCTCCAAAACGTTCTTTTGGGCCAGTCACCACCTGCTCATCTTTGGAGGTGAAGCACAGGCAGTGTTTTTCTGAAGCCCTCTTTTCTTCAACTCCCAAACCCTTCGTTAAGCCCTTCCACATCCACATGCCCAGCGCTTCCTGAACACGCAATGTCCCATCCTGTGGAGGTTAGGGGACACGGGTGGTGGGGAGAGGGCCTGAACCCAGTGCTGCCCTCTGGGCCTGTGCAAGTGCAGGTGTGCCTGTCTGCTGTGCGAGTGTGTGGGTCTCAGATCCAGGGCTTATGTGTGGAGTCTCTCCTCCCTTGCACTCGCTGGTGGCCTGAGACCAGCAACTCAGGGAGGGAGGAGAGAACAACCTTCCCCACTCTTTTTTCCCTAAGCTGTGGTTCCGCCAGCAACCATTAGGGGTCACTGTTGCCTTAGCCAGCAATGACAGGCAGGGACAGGGAAGGGCAGGGGCGCGTGCGGTGGGACACGTGGTCCTTGCTGCCCACCTGGACCCTAAAAGGATGGTGTCTGAGTTGTGATTAGCATAGAGGCGGCCTCGCACAGACTCATGCACACTCGGCTCATGCCTTAAGGAGCTGTGGTTTTCAGGACAGGTGCTGGAGTGAGCAAGCGCGCTTAGAAGTATAAACCTCCGCAGAACCCCTGTGTGTGGCAGCATGGGAGCTCTGGCCCTGAGGACCTGGATGCAGGAAACGCTGATACAGGATACGAAAAATCCTTGAGCCAGGCCCAGCCCCTTCTGCTACCACCCCCTTCACCAAGGTTTTAAGTCGTTCACCTGCAGCTCCTCCCCTTCGAATGCCCTGACTGCACTGGCATAAGAGCCTGGAAACAGACTCCCATGTGCTCCTTTAACCTGCCTCGGGGGCATCTCTGCTCCTGGGATGGAATAACAGTAGGGAGCCAGACACACAGACTCTGCTCTGATGTGTGTCCCCTGCCTTGCCTGGGGGGCATCCAGCACGGACTGGTGATGTCATCAGTACCCCCCCACCCCAAGTTCTGCCCACTTCAAGTCTGTCCTGTGATACCCCAGAAGATGTCTGCCCAGTGAAAATACGGAGGGATGAGGTGTAGGGGACGGGTTGGTGAGGCTGGGAGGCCAGATATGAAGGTTCCCCTGCCGGGCTCAACCACTTCTGGCCACCTGAGCCGCAGATAATAGCAGGATGGTCCTGCTTCACTGCCATGGCAACCCTGGCTGCTCAGTCCTCATGGAGGTGGTGTTTGACAGCAGTGTATTTATCCTATATCACTGCCTCAGGGTCACCACCTCAAGTCCCCAAGGAGGGAGGGAGGAAGTTCATCCAGTGTTAACACCATATAGATGGAGAGATAATGGGCTGCCCTGGACCAGGGTATAAACAGACCTCGGCCTTTATTGTGCCTTCTCCAGTCCTCCCATGAGAGGCAGGGGTGGGGGGCAGAAGTGAGGGCAGGGAGGAAGCAAGGCTATTAAAGCCTTAATAATCCAAGGGTAGGAGGGGGATTGAGGGGGAAAGGAGGGGAGAAGGGGTGAATCTGCCCCAAGGGAACGCCCTGGAGAAGAGGAAGCGGGAGCACCAAGCTTGGGGTCTTTGGGTATATGGCAAAGGAGAGGAAGCGGGGTGAGGGCAGGCCTCCAGGCCAGGCTGGGAACCCACTCGCCCGGGTCCCTGGGTTCTCCCCACAACCCCTGCGGAACGGGGCAGAGGGGAGGAGGTGAGAGGAGCAGTCACGTGGATGCCCAAACCCAGCTTCTCCCAAACACAGACAGAGAGGGCTCCAGGCCCGATTCTGGCTGCTCATCTGGTTTCAAACGTGCTGATGGCCCCAGATGCCCACAGGAGCTCCGAAGCCGAGGGTGGGGCTCCCCAGACCCTGCCTCTGGGGCGGGCAGGCCTCTCTTCCTAGTCTGAGTAGGCTCTCTCACTCAGAGGGCAGGATGTCTTGTCCACGGTCTAACCTCCACTTCTGTTGTGGCCTTGATTACTTTCTCACGGAGGATCAGATTCCTGAGAAAATCTGTCCTGCCGTGACTCTGCTCTGCTCTCCCCGTCACCCCCGATCTGTCCTGCTCCTGCTCTCTGTGCCCCCCTCGGCCACCCCGTGCCCTGTCTCAGCATCTCATGGCTGCAAAGGTCAGGCCCCTTCCTCTCTGCCCATGGGAGGCCAACCAGCCAGGGAATGGGGTGCCCCTCAGTGCCCTGGACCCCCATTTTGGGGGCTGAAGTCTGAGGAAGCCCCTTTAGGGGTTGGCGGGGAGTCGGGCTCTGCATCTGCGGGCAGCAGGGAAGGCCGGGCCCCCCGGCACTCTGGGCTGTAATAGAAGGAAAGGAGGCGGAAGGAGGGCCGCAGCTCTTCTTGTATGCTGTCCAGGATGTGGGTAAAAGTTGGGCGCAGGCGCGGGTTCTGCTGCCAGCAGCGGTGCATCAGCTCCTGCCTGGTGGAGGTGGGGGGCAGTGTCAGAGGGGTGCACATTTCCTGCCTCCTGCACTGAGAGGGTCAATCAGTGTGATTGTAGGGGGGGTCATGGGGGATTATGTCTGCGAGGGTCACAGGGGAGTAAATGGGGGTTGTAGTGGGGATTTTGAGCTGGAGGGCTCAGAGCTGGGGATCAGTGCAAGTAAAAGCATCAGAGGAGGTGGGCCAGACTCACAGGGGTGGGACAGGTATAGGCGGTGCAGACTGGGGTGACTCACAGCTGAACGGGACAGCTCTCCAGCTCCTCTAGGACCCCGCCATCCATGACGAACTTGAGCACCTGCTCATTGGATAGGCCCTGGTAGGGTTGTTCGGCCAGGGTCACAATCTCCCAGAGCACCACGCCAAAGGACCTGGAGGACGCGGAGGAGGGCCTGAGCCCAGCACCCTTAATGCAGCTCAGCGCACCCTAAGGAGTGCACCCAGGCCTCTCCCAAGGACCTGCCTCCACACCCCCTGAGCCCTCTGCTCCAGCCAGGCCCCACCAGACATCCGAGTGGGTGGTGAAGATTCCATCTTTGAGGGACTCAGGGGCCATCCAGCGCACAGGCAGCAGCCCCTTCCCGCCCTTGCGGTAATAGTCTGTCTCATACACATCTCGAGTCATCCCGAAGTCTGGAAAGTGAGGGTAGACGGGGTGTGGGGCAGCAGAGCCATTCACCAGCTCCTGCCCCGGGAATACCTCTCCCAACCCTCTCCACCTCCAAGAATCCTGGAATGTGAGGGCTCAAAGGACCTCAGAGATCATCCCATCCAAATCCTGCTGCCCTCGGACGAGGAGACTGAGATCCAGGGTGGGGGGCTATCAGGGACAGAGCTGTGGGACAGGCTTGGGTCTCCTCAAGCCTCGCTTAGGGGGAGTCAGTCTACCCAGGCTGCTCACACCCGCCTGGCCCTCTCTGTACCCCCGATCTTGACGGTGAAGTCCTGGGACACCATGCAGTTTCGGGCCGCCAGGTCTCGGTGCACAAACTTGTTGGCAGCGAGGTAGGCCATGCCATCCGCGATCTCACCAGCCATCTGGATCATATCTCCCAGTGCTGGCCGAGGGAGCCCAGGGTTGTTCTAGAGCCGAGAGAGGGGGCCAGTGAAGTAGGAACTTGAGGCTGGACTCCTGCCCAATGATTACCCCTACAACTGTGCCCAAGTCCTCTCTAACTCCCCAGCCCCTCACCCAGGATCTTCCTGGTCCCTACCTCTGCCTCAGGCCGCAAAGATCGAAGATGGCTCTTGAGGTCCCCTCGGGTCATTAACTCCATGATGACCAGAGTTGGCTGGCCCTGAGACACCACACCCAGGAGACGTACCTGGGATGGATAAAGAGCCTGGTTGCAGGTCTACCCAGCTCCCTTGATCTCCCTGGCCAAAACCTTGTTCTGCTCTCACAACTGACCCAGACACCAACCCTCCTAACCCCAACCATGACCATCACCCTAATCTTGACCTAACAATGACCCTGACGCTAACCCGTGACCTTAATCGATCTATCATTCCAATCTTCATGATTGAACCAACTCTGACCATGATCCTAATAATGATGTGAACACTCAGTATTGACTTCCACCAGGACTGATTTCAGCCCTAGCCATGATCCTACCATGGCCCTATGATGACCCTGTTTCGACTCTAACCCCAGCCATGAGCTTTACCCCAATTAGGATCCTAACCACAGGCCCAACCCTGGACTTGATGGTGCCCTGAAATCATCTCTGATCTTCTCCTTCTCACCACATGAACTTCACCCTAATTTTGACCCTGACAATGCCCTTGACCCTCCCTTACCACATGGTGACACTTGAATGCCTTCATGACAGAGGCTTCCTTGAGGAACTCAATGCGTTCTCGTGGGCTGGCCAGCTCATTCACCGTCTTCAGGGCCACGGGCGTGAGCTCCTCTCCAACCTCAAGTCCTTGTGCCAGCCCCTCGTATACCATCCCAAAAGAGCCCTGGCCCAGTTCCCGGATTATGGAGATCTGCTCCCGAGGCACCTCCCACTCATCAGGGATGTACACTGAGAGGAAGTGGGAGTCACAAGGCAAGGGCACTGCTCTCTGCCACAGCTCCACCCACTTCTCTTCTCTTCTGAAGGGCTCGGGTCCCAAGGCTGCCTTCTCCAAGATGGTCTGGAAGTCTGTCTCTTCTCCCCTCCTGTCTCCCTTCTCCACACCACCCATCCAGCCAGCCCCAGACCTACTATGAGAGGCACTGAAGTATTCTGGATTCACAGAGGTATACAGCGTGCTGTTTCTGCAATGGGAGGTGAGAGGGTCAGGCTGGAAGGGTGCTCGGGAAGGAAGAAGCAATGTCAGAGGACAAGGAAAAGGGACATTACAAGGAGGAAGGAAGTTACTGATCATAACCCCTAGCTCTGATCAGGGTGACCCCTGGGGAACACCAAGCACCTTCCAAGCTAGTCTTGGTCCTAGTCCTGGGATCTGGGATCTGACAGGCGGGGAAAAGGGAGGACAGAAGTAGAGAAGCTGCTGTCTGCTCAGCTAGTCCTCAGAACCCAGCTAATCAAAGTCCTGCCCTCAGTTCCCTCTCATATCCAGCCCTAGGGGGATCTGACATCAAGAATCCCAGGATCCCAGGACACATCCTGAGGTCTCCTGTTTCTCCCCCTGCTATGATAGGACCAGTTTCATTAGTTCTCAGGCTAAGAGTATGGTGACCAACAGACCCAGTGTGCCCAGACCGAGGGGTTTCCCAGGATTTGGGACTTTCACTACCAAAATCAGGAAAGTCCCAGGCAAATGTGGACAAGTTGGTCCCCCTAACTGAAAGGTATGTCTCTTTCCTCCATGCCGCCCCCAGGGGAAGAGTTACTGCTTCTAAGGAATTCCTTTCTGCTGTCTCATCTATTACCCTCTGATTGCACTGACTTCTGATGAGGGCTCAGGGAAGAAGGGGGTTGGGAACCAATGGGACTTGTCATCACCTCTTCTTGCTGTAGAAGAAACCGAGGGCAGCAAGAATGATGAGCAGCATGAGGCCCACGGGGGTGACGGTGAGAAGGACGTGCAGCCCCCCGGAGTCTTCCTCCTCTGGTGGCCAGAAGGCGGCAGAGGGTTGGGTCAAAGATGGAGAAGTCAGAGAAAAAGAAAAAAACAATACTAATAAAAAAAGATGGAGAAGTCAGAGGGTAGAGGACACTTCTCTTTCCACAATGGGAGGTGAGGATGGGGGAGGGGTGGGGTGGAGGGGCCTGTGGTTTCCACAATGGGAGGTGTGGCTGGGGACCCAGGTGGGGCTGTTTGGGAGTACAGGTCTGGGACAGCGGCTCTGCACACCTGGGCCAGGGATGTAGAAAGCGACACCGTCTGTCCAGGAGCCATTGCCAGCCAGTGAGGTTGCCCGAACTCTGGCAGAGTAGTTTCCAGGAGGCAGCAGGGCCAGGTGGACGCCCCCAAACTTGGCATATCGCAGGCGGGACACACACAGCACTGTGGCCTCCTGAGGGCAACACAGAAGAGCTGGCTGGGAGGAGGATGGAGGCACAAATTGGGGCTATAGGTTAGGGTGTCTCCTGGGGTACCTACCTCTCCCAAGCGGCGGTACTTGATTTCGTACTTGAGAATGAGTCCGTTGGGGTCTGGTGGCTCAAGCCAGCGTAGGAGAACACTGCTTTTGCTGGCTGCCTCCCAGGCCACCTTCCCTGGGATGCCATCGGCCTCTCCTGTGGGAGAGGGCATCAGGCAGCCCGGCCACAAGTATTTCCTCTCACCTTCATATTCAAACCCAAGGGCGCTAAACTGGGAGGTTTGAGGAAACGCTGGGATTTTGGGGACTGGAAAGGTTGAGCAAACTGCGGCCCTGAGGCTGGCGGGAGGTCAAACTGGCTAGTTGGAGCACTAATTGGATGGGGTCCTTGGGGTCGGTGTGTGGGCGGGGTAGAGCTGGGGGGGGGTGTCACCTACTGTGGGGCATGGTACGTGCAAAGACGAAGGTGGCAGCGCTGCAGCCCACAGTGTGCGCCGCGTGGTTGCAGGCATGGATGTCGATCCGGTACTCTGTGAAGTGGCGCAGGCCCTTCAGCACCGCTCGCTCCCGGGGCACTTTGTCCTCCTGGATCTCGAAATCCGAGCTGTTCCCCCCAAGCCGGAGGGCCCCGGCTGCCCGGCGGTGCCTCCCCGAGTCCCTAGGGAGGGCGCGAGTCAGAGCCAGGCCCCGGTCCCGGGAGCCACGCCTCTCGGCCCCTGCTCCGCCCCCGCTCACCTTTGAGGGCTCTTATTGATGGACGTCACCTTCCAAGGGGATCTGGGGAGACCGGGGGATCGGGGGGTGGGCCCTGTCAGGCCCGCCTGGAAGGCGCCCCAGTGCCCTCTGCCACGGCGGACCGCCTCCCAACCCCACCCACAACCCAGGCCCCGCCCCGCAGACCCCGCTCATCAGCACCCTGGCCTCCCGGCTCTCTCGTGCCGAGACGCACTTGGGGATGGTGATGGCGTTGTGTAGAAAGTTTTCAAACTTCTTCTGGAAGGAGGCCTCCTGTGCCTCCAGCGGTGGCAGGACCTGCCCAGGAGGTGGGTGCTGGCAAGGGCAGCAGCCAGGCTCCCTGTCGGCCTCGAGCTCCCCGTCTTCGCGGTCGAAGCGGGGCTCGTTGTTGCTGGTGGGCAGCCGCAAGCCTGGTGCCGCGGCGGCGAAGGAAAGAGTTAGACTGGCAGCGCCCGCGGCCCAACACCCCAACCCCTCCGGTCCGCGCCTCCTCCCTGCGCACCGCGGTGGCAGTAGTCATTGAGGTAGAGGTCGCTGTCTTCTGCCAGGCGTTGCCACAGCACCAGGTAGTAGGTGATGTTTCCGTTGCGCTGGGTCGGTGGCTTCCAGCGCACCAGCAGGTGCGAGGAGGAATTGGACGTGGAGATGACGTCCTGGGGCACTGTGGGTGCTGGGGGTGTGAGTAGGGTACAACTGAGGGGCTGCAGATCCCCCTTTCAAATACTGTCTGGTTATGGGCCCTTCTCTCTGAGGTCCAGCCTCCCAGCCTCTATAGGCCTGGTGTTCAGTGACCCAGCTTCTCTATTTCTGGTGCTTGGGTTCCCCCATTCTCACTAGGACCCAGGCATTTAGCTCCCAACCCCCTTCAAAGGCTTCAGCCTACCTGCAGGTAAGGTTCGGAGGTAGATGATGGGGCTTTGGGCTCCTTGGTGGGGGCTGTCCTCTTCAGTGGTCAGTGTGATGGCCCGCACAAACACTGCGTACTGTGTCCAGGGCTTCAGCGGGGCTAGGGTCACACCTGGCTCCTGGGTGCGGCTTAGGGGCAGTTCCACGTCCAGTAGGTTCCAGCTCTGGGCCCCACATGCATCTGGACCTACATGCTCTGTGGCATTCTGGAATGGGCTGAACACCCCATCCCTAGAGATGAGGGGCAGCTCAGCCCCAACCCCAGTTTCTAGCATCCTCCTCCTCCTCTCTGAATCACTCCAAGACTGTCATTGTCATGCTTCTTCCAGTGTGAGGGCATTCAGAAGCAGGTGTGGGTCTGCCCTCTGGGGCAGGTGCCTTGTGGGCATGACACACTCACTGAGTGGGTCTGCTCAGAGCTGGAATTGAGCCAGGATCCCCAGTATATCTCTAAGGGAGCACAGCCATAGCCACACTGCAAGGCAGATGCTAGGGGAGTTTCCTGAAAGACCTCGAAGATTCTTTGCCCTCTGAGTCCAAAGGCAGTGGTGTATAGTCCTGCAGAATGTGAGCTGTACAACCGGTGGGTAGGGGTGGGAGGCCGGGGCTTTACACTGCAGTCCATGTTAGCATTCCTTAACGTGCGGTCCATGGCCCAGGAGATTCAGCATTACCTGAATGCTGAAGCTTGTTAGAAATGCAGATTTATGGGCCCTGCCCAGGACTAATGGAATCAGAATCTGTGGGAGCGGGGCCCAGGAATCTGTATTTAACAAACTCTCCAGCTCCTCGTGCTAGAGTCCTTCATCTTCCACTGAGGCCTAGGAGAGCCTTGGCCCTGTGAGCAGGCCTCCCACCATTAGTTTTTCTCCCTTCCTCCCAGGCCAGGCCCTGTGCTAGTGGGCAACTAAGATCTCTCCATTTTAATTCACAGGAAACGATTCCAAACCAGGTGGCTCCCATCTTCTATCTACCACAGACGGTTAGTACTCCTCACTCCTGCCCTCCCAGCTTGCTTTCCCAGATCCATCTCTCTCCTCTAAAGAGTTCTATTTTTGATCCCTAGCCATGCTTTTGGAGAAGTTCTTCCTGTGGTCTAACCACTATCCATCCTGCTATGGTCAGTACGTTCTCTCCAAAGAAAAGAGCAGCTGGTCCTTGGTTGTCCCTGCTCCCTCCCTTCCTCAGGCTTTAATGAAATGCTGGCAAGGATATGCATAAAACTGACCAAATTAGTGGGTACTTCCCAAACCGCTGCTGGGGCAGGAGCATGTGGTCGGTACAAAACATTAGCCTAGTGAACTGAAGTTTAATTAACCAGGCCTTCCCAGCAGGGCACCTCTCCTGGGCTTTCAGAAATCCTGATTGTCCTCTCCTCATCACTGGTTAAGGTGAAACTGAGGCACGAAGGGATGAAGAAGGTGAGAGGAGAGAGAGCCAGACGTGGGCCCTACGAGGGAGTGCGACTCTCCACAGCCCCCCGGGGCTCTGCCCTCACCTGCCTGCGGTCGTGAACAAATTGACGTGGTCGGGCTCTGACCCCGGCCCATTCTGGCCCCGCCCCCGCTCTGGCCCCACACCCGTCTGGTCCCGCCCCC